GCTAACATTAGCTTGGCTGTGGGTTAGCTGCTGTGAAGCTAACCAGTCACTTTATTAGCATTATTAGCAAACAGGACAAAAGCAACACTGACCTGTTGGTTCTGTGAAACAGCTAAAATAAGTCAATGTTGCCCAGAAACAGAGCAGCCTCCTCATCCATTTTCATACCTTTCACCTCTCCATGAAGCTGAAATCAGCTTGTTTTTCACCAGCTTCTCGTTTGAATTTTCCCATTCCACCTTAAATGGTGCAGCGGTGGGCCGATGTTCAGGTGCCACAGCTTCTCGTTCCAGTTCTACCTTAAAGGGTGTGACAGTTACATTCAGGGGGCTCGGGTGCACAATGGAGCTGCTGCACGATTTAAGGTGAAATGGGGAAATGCGAATACCTCAACTTCCTCAACTGTGAGGAATATTCGGTGGAGGAATATTCGGAAGGTCGCAGGGCTGTGTGGGTGGTCACTGTCTGGGGAGGACAAAACAAAGCATGGAGAGGGCCGACTTTTAACAGGGCGGGACAAACATGCATGCACGGCCGGACCGGCTATGAAAACAAAACACAGAGAAGCTCAGATTACACACACACACACACACAGACACAGAGGGGGCGTGGCTTCATTCTCTGATCAGGACGCTGTTACTATACTATATCTTTACATAGAAAACAGCTGTTTGCTTCTATATTAATGTTTGAAATGTCACATATAGAACCTTTAAAATTAGCTCTCATGCCACTAACTTTACCTGGCTAGCTTGTTGCTAACAATACGCACTTCCTTGGCGGCGTCCATGTTCTTCACAGTTTGTATGCATGCAGTTCCAAGCTCTGACTTCCCTCTTCCAAGCGGGAATAGTGTTAACAGTGCAGGAATAATCAGATCACATCAGAGTCGGGGTGGAAATTCAACACCACTCTGACATTTAAGAACCAGATTCACCCTTCACCTCTGTACTCTCTCTCTCTCTCTCTCTCTCTCTCTCTCTCTAACTCTCTCTAACTCTCTCTCTCTCTCACTCTCTCTCTCTCTCTCTCTAACTCTCTCTAACTCTCTCTCTCTCTCTCTCTCTCTCTCTAACTCTCTCTCTCTCTCACTCTCTCTAACTCTCTCTCACTCTCTCTCTCTCTCTCTCTCTAACTCTCTCTCTCTCTCACTCTCTCTCTCTCTCACTCTCTCTAACTCTCTCTTTAACTCTCTCTCACTCTCTCTCTCTCTCTCTCTCGCTTCATACAGTTCAAGTTCAGTGTAGCTTTATTATCATGACTGTAAGGTCCAGGACTGCCAAAGCATTATAACAGTGACAACATTGACAATAACAACATGAACATACAATAACAATATATCAAATAATAACAATAATACCAACAACATTTTTGACTGTATTAATTATGTGAATTATTAATTATTATGCAAAATTGGAAAAAAATTTGTACATATATGTGCTGTTGGGTATGTGGGGGGGTCAGAAGGGTTGGGATATATATATGTATATGGCCATCTTTATCTCTCTGCCTCCCTCTCTAGCCTCCGTGTCCCTTTTTATCTTTATCTCTCCTTCTCTCTTGCTCTTTCTGTTACTCTCTCTCTCTCTCTCTCTCTCTCTCTCTCTCTCTCTCCCTCTGTCTCTCTCTCTCTCTCCCTCTGTCTCTCTCTAGCAGTGCTAATATCAGAGTTTTATATTTATCCTCAGTGCTGCAGACTGTGATCTCCTAATAAGGCGAGAGAGAGAGAGAGAGAGAGAGAGGGACAATGGGGGATGGCTGGTTCCCACACAGAGTATTCCTGTACTGTACTGTGTGTGTGAGTGTGTGTGTGAGGTGGAGAGAGAGGGAGAGTGTGGTTAAGTGGCAGGGCGAATGAGTATAAAGCGCTGAATGGGCGGTTGTGCGTCTCTGATCAGAGGAGAATAAAAGCACCTGAACGAGTGAGTGAGTGAATGGAGGGAGGGAGGAGATCTTCATCACTGCCCTCTCTTCTTTACTGAGGAGCAGCTCTTTCACTTTCTCTGATCAGCGCGGGGGAGTTTCTCTCCTCTGACGGGAATCCTCTAACGGCAGGCCCTGACCGCTCCATCACCTCAGCCTCATTAACCCTCCGAGCGCTGGATCCAGCTACTGCCCCCCTCCTCTCTGCATTAAAGCAATACTTCAGAAAAAAACAGTCACGGTTTTCCCCTCTTACCCCAAATGAAGTCTATCAGCCAAGATATGTTCAGTGTCTGAAATCTGCTTCTTTAGGTTTGCACTGAAGCTATGAGGCTAATGGAGCTAACAAGTAATGGAAGCTTATACCCACCAATTAGCATCACTTGCCTTGCGTAGACTTATGGTCAGAATTAAAATCACAATCAGAATCACAGTCATTTTCAAAATCAGAAATCCCCCCTTTAAGCTTTCACTCATTTGTATCTGAGTGTCAATTTTTCCCAAACAGACAACATAAGTTTCTCAGGGAACCCCCGAGTTCGATTTTGAGACATTTAGGGGGTCCAAGAGGTTAATT